GCTTTTCTTCACTCAGACAGCTGCTGGCTGCTGAGGCTGCCAATCCCAAGTTGACAAGTAAAAAGGCACAGTCCTGATGTTACCAAACCACATGGCAGGCCATTAATTCAAGTCCACTGTAAGACCCCAGGTCGGCAGAGCATGGCAGGCTTGTGAACAATGACACTGCTACATGCAGGGTCCAAATGTGCCATAAGCTAGAGACTATCCCCAAGGCTTCTCCTTATATACAGAAAGCAAACCACATCCCAAAGGCAGCTACTCAGCTGCTTGTGGTTGATCCCACCACGGAGCTGATTGCCAGTTTCATCATGGGGAATAACTACCACCAGCTGCCCAGCCATTCAACCAGGCCCAGCCAAGTTGACATACAAATTTAACTACCATACTAGATTACTGTTGCTGTGTTGTTGTTATGTGCCGTTGAGTCAGACCTGACTCATAGCGACCCCTCCTTGGGTTTCCGAGGCGTTATCACTACGTAAGTAGATTGCCCAACCTTCCTTCCGAGGAGTGGCTGGTAGGTTTGAACTGCCAGCCTTCTGGTTAGCAATCAAGTCCTTAGGCACTACGCCACCAGAGCTCCCACTAGATTACTAGGACCTCCTAAAAATTAAACATTTATGCCCATCAGAAGGGAGCTCTGGTGGCATAGTGCCTAAGGCGGTTGACTGCTAACCAGAAGGCTGGCGGTTCAAACCTACCACCCACTCTTTGGAAGGAAGACTGGGCAATCTACTTCCATAGTGATACCGCCTTGGAAATCCAAGGAGGGGTCACTATGAGTCGGATCCGACTCAACAGCAGTGAGTTGAGCCCATCAGAAGACTTCACCAAAAGAGGAAAAAGAGAACTTATAGACTGTGGAAAAAAATATTGGTATGACATACCTGACATAATCTAAAAATTTATAGATAATGTTAACACCTCAACAACAAAATGATAAACAATCCAATTGAAAAATGGGCAGAGGACATGAACAGACACTTGACTTTGCCAAAGATGACATTCAGGCAGCCAACAAAAAAGAAATGCTCATGATTATTAGCTATTAAAGAGACGTAAATAAAAAACAATGAGATACCATCTCACCCCAGCATTAACAGCAAGGTTCAAAAACACAGAAAACAACAAATGTTGGCAAAGATGTGAAGATACTGGAACCCTCATACACTGCTGGTGGGACTGTAAAATGGTACAACCACTGGGGAAAATGATATGGCACGTCCTTAAAAAGTCAGAGATACCAGATGATCCAGCAATCCCACTATTAGGTATGTATCCCACAGAAATAGGAGCGATGACACCAATATGAACATCCATATTCATTGCAGCACTATTTACAACAGCAAAAAGATGGAAACAACCTAAGTGTCCATCAACAGATGAATGGATAAACAAATTATGGGACATATACACAATGGAATATTATGCAACATTAAAGAATAATGACGAATTTGTGAATAACATGGATTAACCTGGAAGATATTATGTTGAGTGAAATTAGTGAATCACAAAAGGATAAATATTGTATGAAACCATTACTATATAAAGTCAAGAAAAGGTTTACTCAAATAAATATTCTTTGAAGTTTACCAGGGGTGGGAAGAGAAGGGAGGTTAAATCACTGACTAAAAGGTAGACAGATATTAAAATTAACTTGGGTGAAGGGAAAGGCAATATACAATAAAGGGGAGGTTAGCACGAAATGATCAAGGCAAAGAAAGACACTGGGAGAAACTCAAGAAGTAAAGGCAACAAAGGTAAACACTATTACATGCACAATCCTGCAAATAACAGTAGTAACAATAATTCACAAATGTATACATATACAAGGAGCTCTGGTAGCATAGTGCCTAAGGCACTTGACTACTAACCAGAAGGCTGGCGATTCAAACCCACCAGCCACTCCTCGAAAGGAAGGTTGGGCAATCTACTATCGTAGTGATACCACCTTGGAAACCCAAGGAAGGGTCACTATGAGTTGGGTCCAACTTGACGGCACATAACAACACAACAACAACATATATTCAGACATGCAAGCTGAATAGGAGTAGGAAGGTGAATGGGACTATACCCACAAATATAGGTTTGACAGTGGATATTTCTACATATGTATTTATATGTGCTGCAAATACATCCACGAACATAGTAGAGTATCCAAAGGCAAAGTTTTGAAAACACCTTGAGGGAATGAGTTGCTGGGCTAACCACAGTCTCAAGGGATATCAAGGTCAACTGTTATAACACAGTCCACAAGAACAGTGTTCTCTACATCCTACTCTGGTGAATAACAAATGAGGTCTCAAAAGTTTGCAAGTGACCAGTTGAGGTACAAATATTAGTCTCTCCACATCTGAAACGAAGAAGAGTGAAGAAAATCAAAGACACATGGAAAGAATTAGTCCAAAGGATTAAGGAACCACAAGAAACTCAGCCTCCATGACCCTGAAATCAGAACAAGATGGTTCCTGGCCACCACTGCCAACCACTCTGAAAGAGATCACAAAAGAAGGTCCTAGGTAGAGTAGGGAAAAATTGTGGAACAAAACTCAAAATCATTAAAAAAAAAAAAAAAAAAAAGACCAAGCTTACTGGTCTGATAGAGACTGGTGGAACCGCCGAGATTATGTCCCTTAGACATTTTTAAATTCCAAAACCGAACCCACCCCCAGAGATCACCTTTCAACCAAACAATGGACAGGCCTATAAAGTGAACAGTAACACCTGTGAGGAACATGCTCCTCTTAACGATTAACCATACAAGACCAAATGGCAGCATTTGCCCAAAAAGTTTAGAAGCTAGAAAAGAGCAGGAAAGATAGCCAACTGGAAACGGAGAACCCAGGGAGGAAGTAGAGAGAGTACTATTACATTGAGGGTATTACAACTAATGTCACAAAACAAAACGTGTATGAACTGTTGAGTGGAAAATCAATTTGCTCTGTAAACTTTCACCCAAATCACAATAAAAAGTTATTTAAAAAAAAAAATTACTTTAAGTTACCTTAATGGATACAGCTATGTTGGGGTATAGTCTAGGGTCAAGATGTTAAACTACATTTAGTAACCTTATTATTTGTAATAATATCAGTGTTATTTTTGAAGTATTATGTTGTAGGATAAACATATCATGTGAAAGATGTACGATATTTCACTGAATTTAGGACACTTTCAAATTTAAAATGCTAAGGAAATTAAAATAGTGCCAATCATATTAAGACCCAATGCTAAAAAGCCTTCAATTGTGAAAAACATCCCAATTTCAAAGATGAGGATGCTGTTAAACATAATGAAATCTATCAATGCAATATATTAAAAAGTAAATTAAAAAAATAAAGTCCTAAATAAATGCAGAAGTATTACTTTCCCAGCCACAAAAAATAATGTACTAGTAAGATAGCAATTTCCCTCAAATTAACCTATAAATATAACATAATTCCAAAGTTGCGACAATTTTTTTTTTAGACAACCTTAGTTAATGCCAAAATTCATATCAAAAAATAAAGTGCCAACAACAGTCAAAACATAAGCAAAATTTAAGAGTGAAAAAACCAAAGCCTTCTATAAAGGTACAGTATTTAAAACAGTATAGTACTGTCAGAGGGATAAAAAGACAAATCAGTAGAACAGAATAAAGTAAAAAACAGATCCATAAGTATATGGAAATCTGACATAAAACAGAAGTGATATTATTAATCAGTGACAAAAGAGTTCAACAAATGGTGCTGGGTCAACTATCTTGTCACCTATAAAAAGATAAAATTAGATTCTTACACTTCATATCATATACAAAAATGAATTCCAGAGGGATTAAAGATACAGGGGGATACAAAAAGGAGATCAAAGTAGCAGCAGATAAAGAATAGTCAACAGAAAAAAAATGTAACAAAACAAGATTTCATTTATTCATTTATTCAACAAGTATGTATTAAGCATCTAATATGTGTCGGGCCTAGGAAACTGTATGAGGCAGTTCTACTGTCATATGAGTATGAATCATCTCAACAGCCTAACAACAACAGTGTAGTGCCTAGCACACAGCTGGCAGATACACCCTGTGCTATCCAGACTTCTAAGGTGGCCCACAATAATATTCACCCTTCCCCTTGAGAGTGGGCTGGACTTAATGAATTGCTTCTGTAACAAACAGAAAACAACAAAAGTAACAGGTTGTCCCTTTGGTGATGTGGTTATGAAAGACTATGACTTCCATCTAGCTAGCAGGGTGTCTCTAATGCCTTCTCAACTTACACACTTTGATTAAACAAGCTGCCATGTTGGAGACATGGCAAAGAATTGAGGATGACCATAATAAGAATTAATGAAAACCATGATAAAGTTGAAAACCATTATCAAACTTCTTTGTTATTCCATTCAACAGAGATAGACAGAAAGTGTAATGTACAGTTTCATAATCTCCCAAAAGTTGTCTCAAATGCTTTTTACTACAACCCATGAAGTGCAGGCAAAGCTCCTAAGCATCATTTCTAACATGTGTTTTTAAAACCAATTTCATAGAATATTAAAAACCTAACCAAACAAGTTGCTGTTAAGTTGGTGACCCCTTGTGTGAGAGCAGAACTGTGCTCCGTAGGGTTTTCAAGGGCTGATTTCTTGGAAGTAGATTGCTAGGCCTTTCTTTAGAGGTGTCTCTGGGTGGACTCAACCCTCCTATCCTTCAATGAGCAGCTGAGCACATTAGCCATTTATACCATCCAAAAACTCTCACAGGATATTAGTAGGTATTGTCGTTATTGTTGTGTGCTGTCAAGTTGATTCAGACTCATAGTGACCTTCTATGACTGAGTAGGACTGCCCCATATGAGTTTCCTACGCTATAATCATTATTGCAACAGATCACCAGGTCTTTTCTCCTGTTGAGCAGTTGATGTGTTTGAACTACCAACCTTTCAGCAGCAAGCATTTACTCATGCATCACCAGGGCTGACAACTATTCCATATGTTTCAAACCATTAAATGCCAAAAAGGTCACATACCAGATGAAACTGATCCACTTCTGGGATCCCATCTTCATTTGTCTTAAATTCCTGACTTTGAACAGAAAGCTACAAAAGAAAATGAGAATAAATAAATTTCTAATGTACCAAAATACTTCCTATAGAAGAACAAAATCTGAAACTTTTCAGATCTTGGTGATTAGAGGGCAGCACAATTAAACAAACCATATTAACTTTTGCAGAATAAAAACCTATCCATAACAACGATTTGTTCACAAACCAGGCATCCTGGGGCTAATAAAGTATCAATCACAGTAGACGTTGTGTTGTTGTTAGGTGCCATCAACTCAGTTCTGACTTGTAGCAACCCTACGCACAACAGAGTAAAACACCACCCGATCTTGCACCATCCTCATAATCATTGCTATGCTTGAGCCCATTGTTGCTGCCACTGGGTCAATCCATCTCATTGAGAGTTTTCCTCATTTTTTGCTGACACTCTTCTTTACCAAGCATGATGTCCTTCTTCAGGGACTGGTCCCTCCAGATAACATATCTAAAGTAAATTAGACAAAGTCTCACTATCCTTGCTTCTAAGGAGCATTCCAGCCATACTTCTTTCAAGACAGGTATATTCACTCTTCCAACAGGCCATGGTGTATTCTATATTCTTTGCCAATATTAAAATTCAAATGTATCACTTCTTTTTTGGTCTTCCTTTTTTATTGTCCAGCTTTTGCATGCATATGAGATCTTTTGCAGCAGAGTTGCCCAATGTAATGTAATACATCGTTTGATTTCTTGACTGCTGCTTCCATGAGCTCATAAAGTAGCAATTAGAATTGATACACACAGTATAAGCACATTAATACTTCCTCATCTTACAAGCAAATATACTAAAACTTAGTAGTCCAGTATTATGTTGACTTTACCAACACTCATAAACTAGATACGAAAAACATAAATCAAGCAAGCTTCCTTCAACTCTTAATATCTAACCTATGTTCAAGAAACCAAACAAAATTTTTTTAATTATTAAATATGGAGAATTTCTTACATATACAAAGGTATTCTCTATCTTATCTATCCATCACTCAGCTCCAACAACTATCAACTAATGATCACTCTTGTCCTATGCACAAACCCATTAATATCATTTTTTAAGTTAAATCCCATCATTTCATTATTTAATTTGTAAATATTTTCATACAGAACACTAAAAGGTAATGTCCTTTATTGTGGCACAGTGACATTATTACTATCACATTTAAAATTTTTAATATCAAATATCCAGTGTTCAAATTGCCAATTATCACAAATTATTGTACTTTTTTACACTTTATTTGCATCAGATACAAACAAAATACAAACATCATAATTTAAAAATGAGTACAACACTTCTACTTTCTTCTTGCTCCTTTCCACTAAGAATAAAGCCTGGAAAAAGCACAAAAGACAACCAAGGGAGAACTATTAAAAGCTGAAAGAAACACCAAGCTGGTTAGAGACCCCAGGAAAGAAAGGACAACATAATGACATGGTGTCTTACAACCTAACCAAAAAAGGTGACATAGGCCAAGTGAAATCAAGATGCTCTCAACTGAAGGAACACTAAAAGAAATTTCACTAGAAGACATAACTTTAAAAAATGGCTAAAAGTTATTCAAACCAAAAGAAAATTATTTAAAAAAAAAAACCTGGAGTATCAGGAAGGAAGAAATAACAGGGGAAAGAGGAAAAATATCAGTAAGTACTATAGACTATTCTATAGTGAATTTTCTAAATCATATGTGGTGACCGAAACAAAAATTGTAACACCACTGATATTCAAGGCTTTAAAAAATTATTCTTAAAAGTGAGGAGGGTAAAGGAACCTAAATGGAAATATGGTTTCCTATATCATTCACAGGTAAAACACTGATATCAGTAGACTGTAATCAACTATATATACAATACTCAGACCAACCACTAAGAAAACTATACAAACTAATATACTCAAAAACACTGTATATAAATCAAGATATATTCTTCAGGCAGAAGATGGTGTTGTACCTATAACCCAAATGTTTGTTCCCTTGAGCAATGTAATCCCTAAATAACTAGGTAAAGCAGATACAAATAATGATACTGGAGTTATGAGCAACTAAGGAGAAGCTGAAGTATTAGAGTTAGTAAAGGTAGAGAAAAAGAGCCGATTAAACATCTGGCAAAAATAAATGAACCCGCCTAGCCGGGCAGAGAGATGGAGAGACAGGGAAGGAGAGGACTCAATTAGAAATACAAAACAGGGAGGCGGAGGAAAGGGGGTGTTCTGGTTACCTAGTGCCGCTCTGACAGGAATATACCACAAATGGGATAGCCTTAACAAGCAGGAGTTTATTCTTATCATTTGGAGGC